TTTTCTATAGTTAACCCATCGTTAATATATGTTTGTTTCAAGTTTCTCAGCACCAGACATACTGGTAATTTTAACATCTGAAATGCAACCTCTTAAAAATTACCTACGTACAATATTTGTTGTAAATAATTAAAGCTGAAAATTAAAACTTCAGTGAAAATATCAAAAAGAGAGTTCTAAATTTCAACCAAATATTGTGCAATATTTACCTAAGATTACATCTGAAAAATATGATCCTCAAATAATATCTATTCTGTAAGTTATTACCAAGTGTAAATATACAAAAGAACATCTACTTGTAACTATAACAACAGGTTTCTGTGATTCCTGAGGATGTCTTTTTATAGTTTAATGTAATACTTTAGATTTCTTTAAAATAAATTAGAAATATTCTCTCAATGTTTACTTTTTTATCTGATTTGGGAAATAAATTCAGAGTCGTTTCTTCCAGCTACATTTTTTTCTCATTTTGAATTATAAAATTAAGGCTTTATACTCATTCCTTTTTGTTTTTGCCTAAATATGAAAATAGAGGTTTAAAAACTGGTGGGAAAAAATGAGGATAATTTTTATGTGACTGTTTAATTTCATAAAATATTTCTGTGTTCCCTATAGAAATCTGAAACAATTTTCATTCCTGGTATGTTTTTCATTTCCTCACAACAAAAATTTTCTTATGACACTTTTCTTTGAAACATGCAAGTTATTTATATACCAATATATTGGTTTGTACATACAAGGTATCTATAACCATATGTGCTATGTATGTCCAGTTGCCTATTTATTATTTCCTCCAACAATGAATTTAGCAACCCCTGTGTTAGCTGCAAACTAAAATTAAACCATGGCCGTTATGCTAATGGAAATCTTTCTACATACATAAACATATACACCAATAATAGTCATATGTACACCTGAAACTAATATGGCATATGCCAATTATCCTGCAATAAAAATAAATAAGTAGTGAAAAAAATAAAACAGGTTCTGGAAGGTGGAACCCTGCGAGTTCCCACAGCCTCCCAGGCTCTTGTTTACACACTTCCTCTAAACATATACACCAATAATAGTCATATGTACACCTGAAACTAATATGGCATATGCCAATTATCCTGCAATAAAAATAAATAAGTAGTGAAAAAAATAAAACAGTTGTATAATGTAATGTGTTCAATATATGGTGTCTACTTAAGCACAGTTGGGGGATGTTTCACAGAAGTAGTGATATTGTCTGCTCTTGCTGGAAAAATGGAAAGTTATTTCAACTGGAGAAAAAGAAGGGCATTCTAGAAAGAAAGAATATTTGGAAAGAAAAATAAATAGGTAAGATACTTTAAAAATAAAGCATGATTATAATGATTTAGGCAGTTTTCTTTATTTCCAAAAAACTCTTATTATCTATATTTAAAGTTTTTTAAAAAGGCTAATTGTTAAAATGGAAAAAGGAAAAAAAGTATGTTTTCTTTTTTTTTTATCTCTTGTTTGGATGGCTCTTCAAAAATCATGCTCATGACCCAAGATTATTTTGTTCCTGGAAACTCTAGTGTCATATAATAGAGAAAATATATAAGCAAAGCTTGAAAACAGGTTAAATCCCCACTTGAATATCTCACTACCTAAATAATCCTGAGAAAGTCACTTATGCATTTTGAGGTTGAATGTTCTAACTGTACTCTAAGTATAATAGTAGAAATTATCCTCTTTCTGAGAGACTCTGAGTAAATAGTACAAGCACACAAAATATCAAATGGAGGGATAACTTTCTAATTCATAAAATGCTATAGAAGTGGTAGTAATCTTCATCCTCATTATTATAGTATCAGAACTCCCAATCTCAATAGGTCTACAAACCAATCTGGAGAAATTATTTTTCTAATTACCTGTTTGTCCAAGCCAGAAAGGCTTGCTTATTTTGTTTGTTTGTTTTGTTATTGTTATTTTGATCCTTTATAGCTCTTCCTTACTCTGTAAAGTGAACTGGTATAAAAGTTCCACAATTACTTATAATTATTTCATTCCAAGCATATGAGTTCTTCCCACTGTGCCATAGTCTTGTGTGTGTCTTTGCTTTCCCAGAGAGCTTATTCTTTTTTGCTTGAAATGCCTCCTGCTCTGGAGTGCATCTCATTACCTAATTCTTACTCTACTCGTTTTGTCTATGAAGCTTTCTCTGATCTCAGTTGAGCTAATAACATGTTCTGTTTTCTCTATCTTATAATTATTAGATTGTATTCTAATTACTTACTCATCTGCCTACCCACTGCACAGTAAAATAATTGAAGATAGGTGCCTTTTATCTTTATGCTCCTACTACAGTGCTATATGTACACTAAATGCTAAAGAAATAAGTGTTGAAAAAAAGAATGAGTAGAAAATTTATTTTCTGCAAACTAGGACTATCACATATTCATTTTAATGTCTATCATGAGGATCTTTTGTCATTATAACATGAATTGACATCTTAATCACCCAAAAAGATAAAATTATGCTCAGCAAAGTTTTAACATTATGTTTTCTATTCTACTTTAAAAATATAAATATTTAAAAAATATAAATTAGTGCAAAATATAAATATTGCACTAATGACTTTTATAAATATTGAATGTAAATAATTTTTATTACCCCAAATTTATGATAATTTCGAACATTGATTCACAACGTAAACCAGATAACAAAATTATTAGAATAATTGAATTTTAGTTGAATTTAAATATAACAACCAAGAAGATGGTCTCTACTTGTAGCTCTTTTCTACTCTTAGTCATTACCATATCCAAATTGATTTGTGATAATTGGCATGCTGTTATTAAAAGGTAAAAATGACTACAAACTGCTTCCTATATGTTTAATGCTTCATTAGACTAGTGCCATAATCTTGATCCTCCCTTAAACAAAGCCTTGCCCAATCCCTCACTGAATATCAGGACAGAAATCTCACTTCTCAGGGAAACAGAGATCAGTACTGTTGGCATCTTCAAAACGTATGCAAATAACAATGGTAAATCCGATGTAGAAAGATTCAATTGCACTTTTTATGATATAATCTTAGCATTTCAGCTGCCATTTTTGAAGCAGGATTGCACAATATTGGAGGCATTTATGGCATTTTCACCCTGAAGCGCACCTCATAAAAGTGAAAATCCAGGTTGCCCTACTGTCTCCCTCAGGGGAGCTAGAAAAACAGCATGAACAAAACGGGGTCATTAAATTTTATCTGTTAGAATAGGCGGCTTTCACTGTTTCATAAAAACTTCAAATTTTTGTCTGTTTCTTTGGTTATAATATGGCACATCCATATCAGAAACCAAATATTATCAAAAAAGGAAATCAAGGGAGTCTCTCATAATCTCTACAATAACTTAATATGTCCCTTTTTAAATGGACACTTTTGATGGTTGGGTTTATGTTGATGATAACTTATGACTGTTTTCAGTTTATGAGGTAATAACTTGGATCTGGACAAAATAAAACAAAACTGAATTCAGGTTAGGATGCAGTTTTTGATTTATAAGTAGGAAATTCCACAAGACTATTGTTACCCACAGGTTATGTTTTTTTTTTTTTTTCATTTAGAAAATGAAGCATCTTGAATGGTATAAAATGAGAAGCTAAGCCAGCCATATTAACTTTAAAGAAAGGGACAATAGTTTGGACACAGTAAAATAAATACCTTCTCAGAAAATAAAAAAAAATTAAATTATTTACATTCTTATGAATGAATGATGATGGTAACCAAAATTAGTACATCTAGACGTAATATATTGAAACTCGTGTGGATACAGTCTCTCATGACTCTCAGTTAAAATAGAATTTATACTCTTGAAATTTATGTTGCCATGGTAAAGAAAATATTTTAAAAGGTAACAAAATGGTTACATAATTATATAGTGAAAAGTTAACACTTGCACATTACTTTGGAAATAGAACAATATTTATAGTAGAAGGGCTCTCTATTAGGTACTATTCTTACCCAAAATAATGTTTAAAATTAAGCTGTAAAATATACTATCACATGAATACTCTGCCAATTGCAAATATAAAGCACCAAAACACAGAGTCAATATATTAGCAAAAAGCAAAATTGAATTGTTGCATATGATATGATAAAAGCAATGATTTGGTGAAACATATTTGAAATTAATTTATGTAGCAGAAAATTAACAGCACTATAGTGTACTATTTTAAAACAACAAATTCTTTAAAATTCTTATTTTATAAAGTGTGATGAGTAGGTTGAACTTCTACAGAGATCATTCTGGAGTATGTAATCTCTCTAAATTACAGTGCAAAGAACAATGGAAATATATGCCTTCTCTACTTACCAAAACAACATAATTGAAAGTAAACAGTCATAATCTATGGAACTTTAGCAAACATGCACCAGACAGCTTTGACACCTTAATGTGTATTCATCTCTCATCTGAAATCTCCAGCCTACTGTCCTTGACCATTTTGATGACCTCTTCTCCATTCTCACAATGACATGCAAATGAAACACAGCTCCAATATGAATCTTTCCTGATATTCTCACTGTGCTATTTCTTTTGAATGTATGTAAAATGCACCTTGTTGTTTATTATCCATGGATACTACTTATGTCTCCTGCTCTAAAATGATACAGCAATGTTATCAGCCACATTTGTGACTACCACATAGACACAAAATGTGATCCAAGAATTTGCTCTTCATTTGCCTTTCCTCCAAGACTTAAAGACATTAAAATCAAATAAATCTGTAAGTTTTCTACATTTCCACAATACATTTATTAGTTAGAAAGAATTTTGTTTAGAACTTTAAAATATACTTGCTGTAAAATACCATAACTTTAATTTTTTTATTTCACTACGATATTCATATTTCTATTTTTGGTTCCTCAGTAAAGATTTCTACACATTCACACTTTACATTGGTTTCCATGTTAAAACACACAGGATTTGTCACGTTAAATGTAACCCACAGTCTTAATTCTTAATTTAAGATTTTCAATGTTTGTTACAAACCCAGCTCGTGGATCTAAAGACAGGTCCCTGGGAAACTTCAGCTTTTTGCTAACGAGTATAGTAGGGTATAAGCCATTGACTTTGGATACTTCAATGATCCTTTTCTCTGTGTCGGACCAATAGAGGTTTTTTCCAATCCAATCAACAGCAAGTGCATTGGGGACAGCTGTGTTATGCACTACCTAACAAAATAAGAATTCAAACAGTTAACAGTGTAAATGCCTAGAATAAGAACTGAGCACTGCTTCTTGGTTTTTACAGAGATAATAGAATTCTATTTAAACATTAGAAATAAAATTTACATAGGCATAAAACAGAACAATTTACCCTAATAAAATGACTTGCTCATTTGTGAGAAATTACCTAATATGTAATCAGGCCCCCGGAAATTACATGCGGTTTTAAGACAGAAATGCTCAAATTTAAAAACAGCTGTTGGACAGCTGCATAATTATTAATCACATTTTCATTTTCATTTATTTATACTCTTAAAATTTGGAGCAAAATTCTGTCACAAAGACATACACACACAAAAATTATTGAAATTTATTTTTAACAGACTGTAGGGGAGATATCAATAGCAATTACCATTCCCCCAACTGCTGTTGCCCTATATAAATGCTCTACTATAGGAATGGGAAAAAAATACAAGGGAGAACCCAACATAACCAAAGGGATATTATTCTCATACAACTATTGTGCTTAATTATAACCTATCTCAATATCAAATATAATAAGAATATTGGCTTTTCATATACAAATATGACACATATAAAATAATCCAAAATTCTTAAAATATATGAGCACTGTTTCTGAGTTTTTCGTGCTTTGAGGACTGAATGAAAGAAGCAATTGAAGCATGGGGCTGTTATAGTAATATAGAGACAAAAAAAAACATTGAATTTTTATAGTTATCCTTTCCCAATAACCATAAATAGTAAAGATATAAAGTGACAACATGAACATTTTCAGCATTTAATAATATCAACCTATAATACTGAGTTGTACAATATCTTTTCTTTCTTTCTCCAAAATTCTAAATCGGAAAATTGTCATGTATGACCATTTTAATAAAAATCAGTGAATTATTAATCCCAAAGGAAGAAAGATGCATTTTGTAACCCAATGTTATAACATAATTTAAAGTATTTAAATAATCTTATTTTAAAACCTGAGATAACACAGAAATGGTACCAAATAGCTCATATCTAGAAGGTGACAGGTATTTAATTATGATGCTGACTAATCAGAACATTCATGATTTTATACAAATGCATTCAATTATTCCCATCTATAGTAGGTTAATTTTAATAGTGCTATAATTTTAATCTATAATTTAATTATTAATATTTTTCAATTACAAATACTCTGTCTCAACTTTCTCTTTTATATAAACTAACACAATTGAATCTAAGGCACTAAGCATTCAAGCTAGAACCATCCATCACATTTTCTAGGGTTGTGAATAAGGATCCAAATTTTATTTATTCAATTTGATTTTTACCTTATTTCATGTAATAGCATTATAATGAAATATAAGAATAAAAGGGTCATTTTTTCACATTTAAACTATGTATTAATTTACATTATAAAATGTGAAATGCAAACCAATCTAATATATTCTATGAGTTGTACCATTACCATCAAATAACATTTTCTATTTAATTCAACCACGCTAATAAAATATCCAACAATTCCATTGCTGTAATATTTAGGTACCTTAATATCACTTCCATTTAAACACATTCTATTTATGCGGCTGCCATTGGGTCGGCTGGAATCAATCCAGTAGATGAATTCTTCTCTGTAATCAAAGTCTACAGCAATAACATTGTTTAATCCCTAAAAAATAAAAAGGAATAGTTAAGTAGAAATTATTTTAAAATGTTTTGGGAGTTTGTAAGAGTCTCTATCTCCTTTTAAATACTTATAGCTATTACAATAGTGGCATTTGTGATCAAATCTTTTTAAAAGCATCATATGTTTAGATTTTCCCTGCATTATAAACTTAAGATGTTGCATAAGTTATTTGAAAATGTTTTACAAGCAGGCCACAACAATTTCAGCATTTTTATGGATAATGGTGTAATCAAATAGCCAGTAAAGGAGGTGTGGACAACAACTTGCTTTTGGAGAGATAAAGTGAAAGACTCTCACTGTAGGTTAATATTAAATATACATTTGATGTCATTATTATCATCTGTTCTACAGAGTAACTAGAAAAGAGCACACATTTAAATGGGAAAAACTAAAGATCACTGATGTTTTATGATGATCCCTGGATAGACATCTGATTAAAGTCAGAAAAGACAATTTGGAAATTTTATTATTTACAAAAGCTTTTGTCTCAACTGGATAAATACACTTTTCCCCCCTCCCCCCTTTTTTGCTTCCAGTGGTCCCTTAGGCAACACAGTTCCATGATAGAATTTAAAGTTATAACCTTAGGAGAGTATTTGACCAAAGAGGAAGAGGAGAGTCAATATCTTTTTGTCCCAGGTGGTGAGGAAAAGCCTCATTTCAGACTCATGGTTATGCAGTTTTTAGCAGGGAACAAAACTAGATAGGAATTCAGCCGATGGGTTTGAGATGTCTCAGATCGTTGGTTTAGTAGTTCTGCTGTTTGACTGATTTTGTGGAGGATTGTGCACCAGCATCTGGGAGTCTTCTGAGATGTTAGATTGTTCAAATGACTGTTTAGGGATTCATTTAATTCTGGTCTATTGTTAGGGCTTATAGATTTACTACCTCAGTGGACCAATAAAACTTAGGTCAGAATTTCAATAGTGCTAACTCATTTTAATGCTTGAATAGTTTATTAATATATAAATCCTTATGGATCAAAAAAATAATTCAATACAGCAGACACTTGGCAAAGCCCTGAGAGATCTTTACTATACCTTTATAGCTGATGTAAGTTGCTTATATCAATACTAGAGGCCCGGTGCATGAAATTCATGCAGGGGGGTGGTGTTCCTCAGCCCAGCCTGCATCCTCTCCATTCTGGGACCCCTCGGGGAATGTCAAACTTTGGGGGATGTCTGACTGCCGGTTTAGGCCCGATCCCGGGCCTAAACCGGCAGTCGGACATCCATCTCACAATCTGGGACTGCTGGCTCCCAACCACCTGCCTGCTTGCCTGCCTGATTGCCCCCTAAATGCTCCCCTACCGGCCTGATTGACGCCTAACTGCTCCTCTGCCAGCCTAATTGCCCCCAACTGCCCTCCCCTGCCAGCCTGATCACCCCCAACTGCCCTCCCCTGCTGGCCTGATTGCCCACAACTGCCCTAACCTGTCGGCTTGATCACCTGCAACTGTCCTCCCCTGCTGGCCATCTTGTGGTGGCCATCTTGTGATGATGTGGGGGCGGCTATCTTGTGATGACATGAGGGCGTCGCATGAGGGCCACCTAGGCTTTTATTAGTATAGATTTACCCTAAAGTTGTAGTTAAGTATTAAATTATTTTAAGAATCATTTATTAGTAGGTTTAGTTTTATAGTTAAGGATTAGATTTTCAGGAAGATAAGTCCTTTTGTTTGCCTTGGTTTGGTTTGGAGAAGGAAGGATGGTATTTACCACATGTGAATTGTTTCATTATGTATTCTCAAAATTTGCAATTTGATAATAAGAATGACACTGTATTAGATTTATATGCTTTTTGAGAAACAGGCAAAGGCTAAATTATTACTGTTCAGATTTTAGTTCTCTCAGACCATTTCCAAGACTAAGGATAGCCCGTGTATAGAAGCAATTTAGAGAAGGTTTTGGCAAATACTGATTTTTTTTCTTCTCTCAGCGGGGCTGTATTCTAGTAGTGACGGTGTTAAGATCATAAGTTCAAATCAGATGCTTTTATTTGGCTTAACATGAGCAAAATCTTTTTCTTCAGCTCCAGATTATAAAGGTAAACGGAAATAGCCTAACCCCACAGAATTGCATGCATTGCTCATAAACAAGAGACACAAGGAAGTAAACATGACTCAGTGTAAATGCCTCACTATGCCCAGATAAGTATATGCAAGTGTACTTCTTACTGACGTTACTAATCAAAGTAATGACTATAAGTGCTAAAAGAAAAACTAAAATAATATTCTAGTCACAGATTCAAAACATTCACCAAAAAATGTATTCATAAGCTAAAAACTGGACTTCTTAACTAAATGTACTTAAGTGTACACATCGAGAACATTGCCTCTGCAGAATCAATGAGTGTTCTAAAGTATACATTGAATATATTCCAAGTTCTGTAGAGGATTTAAAATATTCATTACAGTTCTCACTGTTGTCGCTCAGTGGATAGAGTGTCAACACTCAGATTGAGGGTCACAGGTTCAATTCCTGGTCAAGGGCATGTACCTGGGTTGCAGGTTTCATCACAGGCCCTGGTTGGGGTGGATGCAGGAGGTAACCAATCAATGTGTCTCTCTCACACCGATTTCTCTCTCTCTATCTCTCCCTCCCTCTCCCTCCTCCTCCTCCTCCTCCTCCTCCTTCCTCCCACTCTCTCTAAAAGTCAATGGGAAAAAATATCCTCAGGTGAGGGTTAACAAACAAAAAGATAATCATAACAATAGTAGTCTACAATATTTCTTACGTTCAAATGATTTTTTCACCAGATAAATAAGGTAAATGTGTTAAGGTTCCATGATAGGCTTGCAATTCAAATAGCAATGGATAAATTACAGCTTTATAAAAAAAAAAAAAAAAGGTTGAAACTTGTCTCTAACTTTAGCAAAAATTTACCCACTATCCCCATTCATGCAAAATCATTCTCCTTTCTTTACAATAATCAATTTATATAATAAATATCAAATTCCAAATTTAGCAAACCCGCTATGATAAATTAAAGCTGTAAACACAAAGAAATTGAAGCTCCTAATTCTGACATATATATCTAGCCAAACTTGTCATTGTTCTACTGCTTTACAAGTCATCCACACAGAAACAGTGCAATGATCTCTTTGTAGAATCATATGTAAGGTATGGTCAAAATAATGTCTAAAAATCAGAGTAATCCCAGTGGCTTTGGAGCTGAAAATTGGTTTCACCAAAATTCTATTTGCTTCTTTCATTTCTGTAGCTAAATACTTATATCCTTTGGTTCAAGATGATTAATTTAAGAAATTATGTTTTGTTTCTCTATTCAATTTTACTGGAATAAAAGGCACTGTTAAAATTGAATTGGATAACATATCAAAAAGCTACTTGATTAATTTTCATTTCTTTAATCCATGTTATTAAAGTAGATTTTCTAAATGTAGTGTATGAATATAAGTTATAGCTGGCTTAGCTATAACTATGTTTTAGACTACATAGGCTGAAAATTTTTTTTACCAGTTGTTATAATTTTATGTTACAACATTTCTTGATATTGTTACTGATAACAGTGTATAAAATTCAAGATGTTAGGGTAAATCATTTTCCCTAATCACCTACACAAAACATTCCCAAATAATTAAAGCAAAGATGGTGTCTTTCATTTATTTTTACTGAGTTAAATATGGAGAGATAATTACTTTTGTTTTCTTCCCAAGTCTGTATATGTAGACAATACTACAACATTTCTTGATATTGTTACTGATAACAGTGTATAAAATTCAAGATGTTAGGGTAAATCATTTTCCCTAATCACCTACACAAAACATTCCCAAATAATTAAAGCAAAGATGGTGTCTTTCATTTATTTTTACTGAGTTAAATATGGAGAGATAATTACTTTTGTTTTCTTCCCAAGTCTGTATATGTAGACAAACTCTGAGATGGAAAAATGGTTTTCTACTGCCTAGAACTTCTTGAGTATTTCTACAATGCTATGACAAAGTTATGGTGAAAACATCATCCCTAACAGAAATGATGTATTCAAACTGATGGCTGTCAAAACTAGAAGTAAGACTTACCTTTAGTTTGGGGGTCTCTATTTCCTTGTTCAATGGTCACCATTAACAAATGCTTTCCAAAAGCACAGGTGTTTAGAGTCCTCATGAACTTCCTCATTGTCCTCACTCCCTTTTCATTTTCATAAGTAAACTACCTGAGCCCAACTGGCATGGCTCAGTGGTTGAACATTGACTTATGAACCAGGAGGTCATGGTTCGGTTCCTAGTCAGGGCACATGCCCCTGTTACGGGCTCAATCCCCAGTAAGTGTCATGCAGGAGGCAGCAGATCAACGACTTTTGGTCACCATTGATGTTTCCATCTCTCTCTCCCTTTCCCTTCCTCTCTAAAATCAATAAAAATATATTTTAAAAGAAAAGAAAGCTATATGAAATTCATCTCCACTTAGGTACTAGTGATTGGCAATAGTTTAAAATTATGCCACCAGGAAAAAAACACACAAAAAAACTGCTATCTGAAAGTGCATTAAAGTGGTTTGGTTATATGAAATAGACTTAAATCATGCATAGCAAAAGTAATTTTGCTCCATTAAGAGCAACCTCTGATAACATACTAGCTATAAAAAACAACAAAAGAGATATCAATAGAAATATCCTGAGCCACAGGGTTGGAAAATGAAGCAAGGAGCACCATTGAAATTGTTATGGGTCTTTCATTGAGCTTGCTATATTAGTTAAATTTGTGGTTCAGCTGAGCTTATAAATAGAGTATCCTAATAAGAGGACTTTCTAAAATAGCACAGTCTAAAACAAAGACATGCTAAAAAAACAACAACAACACATACACATGTGACTACATGGATGGATTTTAAGAATATCATGCTAAATGAAATAAATCAGACAGAAAAAGTAAAAAAATAAAAACATGATTTCATTCATATCTATACTAATAAAAGGGTAATATGCTAATTAGACTGGGAGGCCAGACATCTTCCAGACAACCCACTTCCTTCTGGACAAAGCCAAGGTGATGGGGGCCGAGGCAGAGGTGGTTAGGGGTGATCGGGCCAGCAGGGGAGGGCAATTGGGGGCCATGAGGCCGGTAGGGGAGTGGTCAAGTAGCGATCAAGCTGGTAGGCAGGCTAGTGATTAGGAGCCAGCGGTCCCAGATAGGAGAGGGTACAGGCTGGGCTGAGGGACCCCCCACCCCCATGTACTAATTTCATGCACTGGGCCTCTAGTGTGTATATAAAACGGAAAGTAACAAATGAACAAACAAGAAAAACAAACAAAAACTCATAGATACAGATAACAGCATGGTGTTATGAGAGGGAAGTGGGTGGAGGAGGAGTAAAGGGTAAAGGGGATCAAATACACTGAATGGCCAGATTATAATGACCGGCCAGATTATTCTGACCACCCCATCAGTACTTCATTGGGCCACCTTTTGCCTTCAATACTGCGGCGATTCTTCTTGGCATTGACTCCATGAGATGTTGAAAGGTGATGCGAGGAATCTGACACCATGCCTGATGAATAGCACTGTCCAGTTCTGTGAGATTTGATGGTTGTGGAACCAGCTGCCTGATGGCTCTTTTAACTTCGTCCCACAAATGCTCAATTGGATTGAGATCTGGTGATTGTGGGGGCCACCTAAGCAAGGTAAAGTCTCCCTCATGTTCTTGAAACCACTCCTGCACAATACGAGCACCGTGGCATGGCGCATTGTCTTGTTGGAAGAAGCCATCTCCATTGGGATATGCCATCAACATGACAGGATGAACTTGATCAGCAACAATACTTAGGTATGTTGTGCTATTCAGACGTTTATAATGGTCTGGCCCTCTAGCAACTTCAGCACGAAATTACAGCTAATTTGCCTACAGATGTCAGGTGGTCATAATAATCTGGCCACTAAGTATATATGGTGATGGAAGGGGAATTGACTTTTGGTGGTGAACACACAATGCAGTATACAGCTGATGCATCATATAATTGCACACTTGAAAACTATATACATTACTAACCAATAAATTTAATTTAAAAATAAATAAATTAACTCTTTAAAGGCAAAAAAGAACCCCCCCGCCCCACAAACACACACACCATAAAAACAATAAACGATATAGTATAAAGAAAAGAAACATATCCCTTTTCCAGAGATCATACAAGGAATTAATGACTGGCACACTTGACTTGGAAGGTAAAGGGAGGACATAGAGATTTACTCCTAGAGAAAGATAATTTTCAATATTCTGTACCTTTGCTATAAGCTTAAAATTAGTCTACACAGAACCATGGCTTTCCCTCAAGGAGGTTGCCCTATACCAGTGCCATTTCTCCTAATTCCAGTTCCTCCCATTATAGCTTTTTTCTCATTCCCATCTGTCTTCTGCTGAGATTACAGTGTGACATAAGCCAACTTGCCTGACTTTTCACCCCGTTAGTATCTGCCCTGCCTACCTACAAGGGTTCTTATTGTAAGGATGAATTTAGGTACATGAAAGTGTGTTGCAAATGCATGGTATACATTTAGATATTATTTTTAACATCTTTAAATCTTTAATTCTCATGTTAAAGAGAACACTTTATGTTGTTCAAATGAATATTAGTTGAGGAAAAACACATTAAAAAAAAAGTTAAATAATATAGAACATCATTTGGCCAGCAAAAACCTTTCCATTTTAAGAGTTCTATCTACTTGAACTTTTTTCTAGGAATATTCATTAAAGAGATAGTTGTCTGGCCCTGGCTGGTGTGGCTCAGTTGGTTGAGCATCATCCCGTGCTTCGAGAGGTCGCTAGTTCTATCCCAGTCAGGGCACACACCCAGGTTGGGGTGTGTGAATTTCTCTCTCTCTCTAAAATAAATAAATATATCTATATATCTATATCTATCTATCTATAGATAAAATAAAATAAATCAATGCAAACATATTTTTTAAAAAAGAGATAATTGTCTGACTCATATATTTTAAGTAGCTTTCTATTTAGCTTTTTAAAAAACATGAAAATTATTTTATATTTTATTCAATCTCCTTAGGGATCAGAATTAGGGAGAGGGACAGTGTGATCTGATGGATGTTGGTGGCTTTTCCAAACTCAAGAGAAAGAGTCTAAACCTCACAGACACCTGTGAATGAGGCAGGAATACTGGTACTGTGGCAAGCACATGGTCAGTTTGAGTACTCCATGGATTTAGAAAGCATGGGCTGTATGTCAAAGTGGCAGCTACTGAACAGGCTGGATGGAGACCATTCAGGTATGTGAGCCTAGTAAGGGTACACCGTCTTTTTTTCTTTACTATTTTTAATGGGTAGCTAGACATCTGGATTTTCAAGATAATTTTTTTTTCAATCTGTGACTTAGAGGAAAGGTGGAAAATCCAACTATGTCATGAAGAGTCAATATTACAGTTGCTACTGAGAGATTACACTTAAAATAAGACTAAATCATTAAGCAAAATGAGTGAAACTCTAACAATAGTAATGAAGAAATCCATATGTTAGGTGGGAAAAAATAATTCTAAGTAAATGTTTTTGTGTTGCTGAAAAATTACCATATGAATGGCTTTTTTGCCTATGCCTAATGCTGGCATAAATATACTATAAGAACAAGAAATATCCTTATTTTTGGCAACTTATTCTAGACAGTGCTTTCACATATGCATGCCATTATTATCCAGTTTGGAGCAATGAGATCTTTGTAGCACAACAGATACAAGCTAAATAATTCCAAAGAAGCTATTTCTTCTGACAATTAAAAGTATGCTATAACTAACTATATGTGATTCCTCTAGTCTATGTAGTAGTCATTCTAGTTTTAATCATTTCATTTTATGCTATTTCCACTGCAGACTGGGATGGAAACAATTTGACAAGAGAACGTCATGGCATTCTATCTTGTCATAAAATGGAAATTATATCTTTTCATATCAAGTAACATATGTAAATATACTTTGACAATAGAACTCAAACATCAAAACAGATTCCCTTGGGTCTTGGGATGGGTTGGGAGATAAAGAGGGTAAGACTGAAAACTTGTGCCTCACAACCTTTTAACTAAGTGACAATCGCACTCTTGTTCCCTTGCTTTTTACAAATTTTAAAGGCTGGTGATCATTAATCCTGTTTTATCTCCTGTTTTCATAGAAACTTGAATTCTATGAAAAAATATTTATTTTTAAATCCCAAGGGGGGGGGGCAAATTTGGTAATGCACAAAACGCCTTAAAAGAGAATCTTATGCTTTCTCTGCTCTAGCTATTCTTGAGATAGTTACTCTCTTACATTACCTATGAAAAAATATTTATTTTTAAATCCCAAGGGGGGGAGGGACAAATTTGGTAATGCACAAAACACCTTAAAAGAGAATCTTATGCTTTCTCTGCTCTGGCTTTTCTTGAGATAGTTACTCGCTTACATTAATTATACCTTGCATCTTTTACTTTCTTTGAAATTGTGTGATGTGACAAATTCAGAGCATCACCTGGACAATTCAAACAAAATAAAATGTATAGTAATCTCATATACATATATGCATGTATTTATGAATTGCATTTCATAAATTCAAATTGTGAGATATTTCTGTGGCTCTAGGGCATATCTGAAGTACCTATAATGAATAGCATGAAATCGAATGTCATACCTGTTTTAAAAGGGTGTAGTTGGAGCCATCGGTGCTAATTTTTCTTATCTCGTGATGATCAGCAAGAATTAAAAAAGGTTCTTCATCTAAATACCAAGCAAAAAACATATTAGACTTTTTGGATGCATGGTTTTCAACTCTTCTTAGTTTCTGAAGCAATATAAAGTCAAATGTAGTGCCCTCCAGTAGATTAATGGTTAAAAAATTCACACTGAGACCTCAGTTGATAATAAGGTGAAAAGGCAGTAGAAACCCAGACAGTACAATCAAGATAGTTATAAATGCTAGCCCTCTCTTTCCCTCAATTCACTTGAATATTAAGTTATCTAATTTATTTGAAATTAGTAGAAATACCTGCTGTTATAATCTGATTTTTGATGATTTTTTTAAAAATGATAAGCTACCCTTATCTTAGAAACCTACAGTATAGTTAAATATTAATATAATCAAATATTTCATTTTTTATGATTAAATAACTACTTTTTGCTCTCAGAATAGCTTCAGTGAAAACTGAGTATCATTGCCTACATACATATTTTTTCATCTGCCTAGGGACTTCTCTTAAATAATTTTAGATGTACATTATCTATAATTCTTATCCATTAATTATACCTTTCCTTATGAGTCTGTTTTTAAAATCCTTTAATAGTCTTTATTTCCTTCTTGTTGTTTGTCCAATATCTTTTAGTACCTCACTTGTTCCAGAAACTAGGAAAGATAATAATAAGAACTTGAACATTCTCATATATGTAAAGATTCTCTAAGCCTTTCAATTGGTTTTATCATCAAACTTATTTGTAAACAAATTAGTTTCTTAAATAAAAGATATTCAGAAAGTTTTGTATGGTATATTTACTTGACTATGTATCTTAATAATTTAAAATCAATTTGACCACATTCTTGATTGTTACAATCCTAGATCAATTCAATAAAAATTTTGTTCAAATTCTCTTTAAATACCTTTGTTTCTAAGATGTATTCATATACTTAGTTGCTGAGTAAGCAAATTTAATGTCAGCAGAAATTAGAAAAAAACAATAAAAAGTCACTTTATGTAATCTAATGTGAATTTTATTGTACAGCACTAATAGTTTTAGTTTTTGTCCTGTTTAATTTATGTTCTAAATTATTACTTTATGCTCCCTTTATCTTTTATTTTATGGTGAATATATAATATATAGGGTAACATATTATAGTTTAGCATACTCTATGTCAAGGATTAATAACATGTGTTACACATGCTGGACAATCGCTTCCATCAGCGATGGCAGTGCCCTCATCAGTCATTCCAGTCTTCCTGTCGAGGCTAAGCTGAGACTTAGAACCCTACCCAACAGAGTAAGCCCTCAAGTTGAAGATGCCTTGTCATCCTTCTCAATGTAGTTCTACATTTAAATATAAAATTGATCAGTCGTGTTCTACCTCAGTACTTAAGCAATTCTGTTCTTTACAACCTAACTGTAGGACTTTAAGCCATAAAAGTCTTAGAAGGAAATGTAAGACATAAACTTCTTGACATAGATCTTGGTAATAATTATTTTGGTATCACACAAAAAGCACAAGCAACAAAGTAAATAAGTTGGACTAGATCAAACCAAAAAGCTTCTGCACAGCAAAAGAAACAGTGTAATAAAAGTCAACCTACAGAATTAGAGAAAATATTTGCACATTATATCTGATAAGGCATTAATATCCAAAACATTTATAAAGAACTCCTAAATCTCAATTGCAAAAAAATCAATAAAAGAGACAGAGGAGATGAATATACATTTTTTTTCAAAGAAGACATACAAATGGCCAATGGGTACATGAAAAGTTGCGCAAAAGCAATACTCGTTAGGAAAGTGCAAATCAAAACTACAATGTTAGAATGGATAGCATCAAAAAGACCAGAGATATCAAATGCTGGGAAGGATGTGGAGAAAAGAGAGCACTTGTGCATTGTTGGCAGAAATGTACATTGGTGCAAGAACTGTAGCAAATAATATGGTGCTTCCTCATAAAGTTAAAAATAGAATTACCATATGACCCAGAAATCTCACTTCTTTGTATATGTCCAAAAGAAATAAAAACAAGGTACCAAATATGTATCTGCTATCCCTGGTTACTGCGGCATTACAGACAAGAGCAAAGATGTGGAAACAACCTACATGTCTGTCAAAGGATGAATGAATAACAAAAATGTATGAAGGAAACAAAGAGTAGAATGGAGGTTACTAGTGTCTGAATGTGGTGGTGGTGGGGAAATGGGAGATATTGATAAAAGAATATAAACTTCCATTTAGAAGATGAATAAGTTCTGGAGACCTAACACACAGCATTGTGATTATAGAAAACAATGCTGTAACATGTACTTGAAAGTTACTAAGAGAGTAGATATTAAATATTCTCACCACAAAAATAAATGGTAATAATGTGAAGTGATGGAGGTCTTAGCTAACACTATGGTGATAATCATATTACAATATATGTGTATCAATACATGGTACAACTTAAAGTTACACAATGTTATATGTTAATTATATCTCAATGCTTTTGGAAATAAATCTAGCTTCTCTTTAGCAAATATTTACATTCCTTTTGTGTCAACTATTATTTGTTTTGAATTATTATTGTTAATGGAAAATAAATACAACATGGATATATGATATAACAAGACCCAAATTTGATCATTAGCATTCATCGCCTTTCTACAATCTTTTATGAAAAGTTTATAGTAATGGAAACTGACTGGTTTGTAGATTTTGTGTATTATTTTTTATTCCTGGTAATTATTTCATGAAAGTACCATAGTAGATGAGAAAACATCTAATGTTTTAAATGCTGTCCCCAGAATGTATTTTGAAAGAAACTGGCAGTGTTATGTGACTCATTATACTCCAAAGCAAAGTAAGGGTGATAGAAACACCTTATGTACCATTTATTTATCCATTTTAATAGTAATTATTATATATTGCTTTGTATCATTTTAATATATGTGATAATCTCCACTAAAAATTACAATATATTTTTCAGTTATGGTCATGTTTTATTGAATTTTTTTTACTTTACAAACAATCACACTATTTGGAACAAAGAGAAGTTTAATAATTTTGCTGAATCACTGGAAAAATCCAAGTTATCTTACATAGCTGATTTATTATTGTTGTCATCATTGCTATTGTTGCTATTATTGACTAGCTGTTCTCCTTGACATGCCTATGTGAGTGTGTGTGGTGTAGGGAAGACGGAAAAACTGTAAGAACACTGTCACAATAGGCTCTTTAATGGTCGAGGCCAAGCCTGCTCCTAAGCACCTGTGATTCAGCAGGAGGCAATGCTAGAGATTGTTCTTGTTTCTGTGAACACTCTTAAAATATAAATAAAACAAATAAAAACCCCTAATAATTCACAAGACCGTCATGCAATATTATTATAAACAGAGCAGTTTGTGGACAACACAAAATCAGAATGATAGATCCCAGACCAAGGTAAGTTGGGAAGAATTTTGATTTCTGAGAAATAGCAAGAATGAATGATTTAATAAAATGGCTATGAAATTCAGGATCCATGTGTGTAACTGAGATTGGATCAGTGGACAAGTTCAATTTGATACCTGAAAGTGATTTGCAGCCATTTGGGTTATCAGGTTGTATTTCATAGCCATCTGTACAGAGGCACTTGTAGGTCCCATATGTATTGATGCACCGCTGGCTACACGGAAAGCCCGTAGAGCATTCATCAACGTCTACACACGTTTTACCGTCATCCTTCAGTTGGAATCCAGGCCAGCATTTGCACTGCAGAATTAAAAACAAGCATAAGCAATTCATACCATTGTCACTGTCTTTTCTTATTGGGTATCCCTTTAACATGACTGAACCCACAAAAGGTAATGGCAAATCTTTCTGTCACACACACAGAGATTAAACTTCAATAAGCATTACAAATATCATATAAAGTTAAAGTCAAAAATCTCTGAAATATCTTCATTTGAACATCTGAGGTTGGGAAGATTATAAAAGTTAACTGATATCACTGTAGCCATGTGACTAAAGAATGACAAATACAACAGAACTGAACTGTCAACTTTCATTCCTATTCTATTTCATTATATTGTCTTTTTAGAAGACTTTAACAGTCATAAGAATTAAACCTTACGTGGAACTTTGAAGATTACTAACATTATCACATGTTATTGTATTAGAGCCTTACAGAAATTTATGATGTAAGTATTATTTTCCTTAGTTAACTGATGAGAAACCCAGAGGAACAAAGGTGAAGTTGCCTAGATAAAGCCAGGAGGAGAGTTGAGGCTGTCTGTAATTTTTTAACACATAGTAAAGATCAATTAATATTTATCAACTGGGTCTGATTCCATAATCAGATATGTTGATGTTATCTGGAAAAATAATAATAACATAGTTTCTCCATCATTATTAAATAAATTTGTATCATCAAATCTTTTCTTCAGCACCTCTATGATCTTCTACATGAGCTTCTGAGGATGATCTACAAAATTTACTAACTGGCATGTCAATTCTGAGTACTATGTCATGCCAAATATGTTTTTGAATTCCTGGAAATAATAAGGTGCTATGATTGGTCACTGTCTTTCAGTTCTCTATTCAGTCCCTGCCAAGAAGCATATGAAAATTCTAATTATACAAAATGAACCTATAATTGGCCAGAAGATTATGGTCATATTAACATTTACCAAGGCTATTTAGTGGTCTTTGAATAAAGAAAATTGTGAGTATTGTGTGGGACAGTGAATTAAGAAAGAACTTTAAGTTATTAAGAGTAACTAGTAGTTAAGGGTTAGCCATAGTAAACATTTCATAATTTAGATAATTTATTTAAGGGTAAAGATAACAGAAGAGATTTTTATATTTTTAGGATAATATAGGAGATACATATACACATATTGTTAAATAGTCAGCCAACAATTAATCGAGGGCTAGAATTTTTTTAAGTACAAGAAGGTATTTATTACTAGGAGGGAAAACATCAACTTCACCTGAAGCTGTTCAAAAGATAAATACCTCTTTCTAAGTCCTTTTATAAGAACTAAATCCCTTTAAGTTCTTAGCACTTTATTCTTTAACAAATTTCACCAATATTTATCTAACAATCCTAGGCAATAATAAAGGATTGTGCTGTGTTTAATCAATAAAACCTACTAGCAAGCCAGCAAATGAAAGCAAAAACAACACTTTGGAAAAGTAGGATTGTCACAGCCTAAGATATGAGAAGGACAGTTTGGGTAAGTCCTTCTCATATCTTAGGCAGTGGCAATACTACTTTCCCAAGTAATTAAGAAGTAATTAAGAAGACTTAACTTACTACCTGATGTAGAAAGGCAAGAGGATAAAATCTGAAGAGAAAGAAACATCAATGTGAGCTATCAGCTATTAAAGTGTGTATACATTTTGGGGGGTACCCTGTATGTTACCACAATTATTAAAAAATAAATATTTTTAAAAATGAGAAACTGACAGGATACAAGAAGATGTCACTGAGAAGGACTGGAAATTAGACCCTGTAATCGATCATGTGGTCAGGAAGCCAGAAGACCCATAGGCAGACACAGGGCAATGCTAAATTCAAGGGCACTTTAGAACAAACGAAAAGAAGTTGCATAAACTATGTTGAATCCCCCTCAAAAAGTATAAAAAACTTAAACAGTGTCCCAATTTTAACAGGATTTCTGAAAATCACTTTGAATGGCTAATATCAAGGCTTATAGAACTACAATATGAAAGAGACAGCTTAGATAAAAACACTTTTATGGAATATTAATTTCCTGAAGGTAAAATTGGTAAATGCTACTGAATGTATTACACATTTCTATAAGCAAATGGAATTGGGATGTTTAAGGTTTACAGTAAGTTTTTTAATTATTTATTTAATAAAAAATATTAAAAAATAATTTACTGCCCTAACCAGTTTGGCTCAGTGGATAGAGCATCGGCCTGCAGACTCAAGGGTCCCAGGTTCGATTCCAGTCCAGGGCATATACCTTGGTTGCGGGCACATCCCAGTAGGGAATGTGCAGGAGGCAGCTGATTGATGTTTCTCTCTCATCGATGTTTCTAACTCTCTATCCCTCTCCCTTCCTCTCTGTAAAAAATCAATAAAATATATTTAAAAATAATAATAATTTACTACCCAATCCAGTAACCTTGTTATAACAAAAATATTTTTACTCTTAAATAATTAATAAACATCTATGAGAAATTCTACTACCCTGACCTATATGAACAAAATGAAAAGAAATAATAATCACTTGCATATTCAACAATAGGAGATGAGAGATTCATAACAGTTTAAAATTTATTCACCTTCACTTAAAAAGACAATTTTTATGAAAGTGAGATTTATATATATTCAACGTCATTTTAATTTTCCTACTCATCAAGAACTATTTCAAATTTTTCTGCTTTGTGTTAATTTTCATATCAGATCATAAAACTGGAAGAAAGAAACATAGCAACCCAAATTTACCTATTACATTCAGGAATATTTTTGTGCAGTTTTTAATGTGATATTTGACAAACATTCATTATTTTATTTCTAATGAATACATTAAAACTTCCTTCTCTCTCAGAAGTATTTTTATTTTTCACACGGTAAGTTTCCCTTCTCTTCAAAATAAGATTCTTGCTTTAGTAAATGTTATTACTCTCTTTTGAATAGATATATTGTATGTGTTTTACAGCAAACATATAAATTGTTCACATTTCATAAGATCTAATTTTTGCTTTCATCAGCAATTTTAATTTTGTTGCAGAATGTGGATTTCTTGACATGTACTGCTGATAATGTATTGACAAATAAGTTATTAGATAGTTTTCCCCATTTCCTTAAAAAGAAAACCCCATCATCTGACATTTTTCCCCCAAATAGTTAAGCATTTTTTTGTACATAGACTTTTTACTAAATTTCCTACCAGTAAATATATATGTAAAATTTGTGCTTGAACCTCTGCTTAAACCTCTTATTTATGATTCTAAACTTAGCTCCTTAAATTTTTATACCGGTCTGTTTCCCACAGTAGATGTTTCATTTTATTCATCGGTTCTGGCATGTGTATATATTCAGGAATATTACTCACAGAATTCTGTCAGGTATCATATACAAAGAATTTTTGTATTATGAAATAGAGTGTCTATTTCAACTAGAATTCTCACTTAAATCATTTCTAGAGAAGTCAAAATAAAAACACTGATATTTTAAAGGTATGGAAAAACAAATATTTTTGTGTAAGGAGTCTTATAAAGTGATTAAAATAGTATGCTTTAATGTATTTTTCAGGGTGACATATACTGCTACCAAAAGTAATTTTCCAAATATAGCATTTCTGGGCACAAAATACTTGTTATATGCAGGCATTTAAAAAAACATTAAACCTCATTTTGAATGATATGTCAAAAGGTTATAATTGATACTCTATAATTTTTAGATTTTACCACCAAGATTGTTATGACAAAGTTTAAATACACACAGAATAAACACAAATAAACTACTTTGAAATTTACATTTTGGATATACATATTATATGACACACATATATATTCTATAGATATATAGACTTATACTGTATATTATGTAGACAGAACTAAATAATTAATTATAACCTATGACTTAAAATTCTTAGTTTCCGGTAATAATTCTATGACATATCCCCTGCTTTTCCAGGAAAAATTTCTATATTGATTGTAAATAAATAGCTAACATATTTTTATGCTTCATTGGATTTCAAATACTGACAAAATTAATTATTTGATACATAGTCATCTCATTCAGAGCTATCTGGACTCGTCTTGCTTCCCTGTTACTTACAGGATAGTGTTCCTGAGTGAGTGTGTGTTTTATGTCTTTTTTGTTTTTTCCTCACCGGAGGACATACTTATTGATTTTAGAGAGAGAGAAGGGAGAGAGAAAAAAATGGATGTAAGTGAGAAACATTGATCGTTTGCCTCCCATACATTCCCCGAATGGAATCAAACTTGCAGCCTTATGCTGTAAGGGACCATAAGACACCAGCTCAGGGCTAATTACTGTAGTTTTTAGATTGTATCTACATATAGTAAAATCCTGATCAATGTAGTTAAATTAATCATAATGACAGAAATACAGAGATTAAAAACGGCAACACGGTCATTTGGCTGAATTGACCGTTATAAGACCTGGCTTGTCATAGAATGTTAAGGCAGGTAGGAAAAACGAGCCTTCTGTACAATGCACACATTTTTTTCTCTATCATCCTTCCTTAAAGAAAGGCATTAGTCATAGCTGAAACACTTTTACTGGTGAGAAATAACGCAGCTCATTCCAATATAAAGAGTTCTGACCTTAGAACAATTTTCCTTATATGGAACAGAATCTGCCTCCTAACTCTAACTCCAACCTTTGAAACAACTCAGAGTAAATATGCTGCCTATTCCAGTGCTTCATATACTTGAATAGAGCCAATTAATCATCTTCATTCCAGGCAAAACATCTTCCAAATGTGTGTGTCCCAGACCCTGTATGCTTCTCGATGTACAAATTTGAATACACTACCGTTTGTTAAGGTTTCTCTTAAAGTGCCATGTGCAACACGTCAACAGTACCCCAGGTACGTTCCGATCGGTGCAACACTTAGTAGAACAACATCTGACCTCTGCAGTGGCCCTAACTGCCATTAGACTCCCTCTGTGTTTATAAGAGCCATGCCCTATTGTGGTTCACATGGAGCTAGTGCTCAGTTAAAAAAAAACAAAAAAAAAAAAACACCACTATTTCCAATGAATTGCTCCCCCGGAGACTTTCCCAACTTACACAATCAATTTACGGAATACACAACTTTAATTTTAATATTTTGTTTGTTTGCATCCTCCATTCCAACGTGAATGAAGCAGATGCTTTAAAATGCTATTTCTGTCCATCAGTTTTGTCAGTGAAACACTCGCTTCAGGAAAATGGTACTAAGAGAAAGCAATTAGACTATCAGGCATGATTTATTTTGTTAATGTACCTGCACTCAGTTCTAATACTTCACGTGTTCTGTTTTGTTTTGTTTTTCTTCTTCCCTGCTCATATGAAAAAAAAATGTACTCTCCAGTATTGTGGTAAATAAATGATTAGCCCATTTAACTTCAATTGTGTATGGGAGGGAGGATGAGGGAAGAAATGGGAACTTAGGAATTACATACATATCTAATGCAGCTATTAATATAGCAGTAATCTTTCTAAACACTAAGCCTCTCTTTCTTACTTTTTTTCTTTATGTTCAGCATATATTGAAAAATATTTTGATTTTTTTGTCTTCCTGAGTATATTTTCACAAAATTACACCACATTATTATTATGGGTTGCATATATAGAACTCTCCATTTAAATAATTTTGCAAACATATATATATTTCTTGTCAATCCTCACCCAAGGATATTTTTCCCATTGATTTTTAGAAAGAGTGGAAGGGAGGAAGTGGGTGAAGGAGGGAGGAAGGGAGGGAGGGAGGGAGAGAGAGAGAGAGAGAAACATTGATGTGAGAGAGACACATCAATTGGTTGCTTCCTGCATGCACCCCAAGTGGAGCCAGTGGTCAAAAGTGCAACCCAGGTATGTATCCTTGACTGGGAACCGAACCCGTGACCCCTTGGTGTGAAGGCTGAAGCTCTAACAATGGAGCCACACTGGTCAGAGCGCTAACAATATTTTGATGCCTTTTACATTTTACAGCTATATTGGATTAAAAAGTTTTTGTTACCCCCAAATTATGTTTTTAATTGAATTTACTTGGGTGAAATTGGTTAATAAAATTATACAGGTTTCAGGCATACAATTCTACAACACATCATCTGTATATTGTATTATATGTTTATCACCCCAGGTCAGATCTCCTTCCATCACCATTTATCTCCCCTTTGCCTTCTTCTACCTCCCCACACCTCCTCCCCCCTGGCAATGACCAGACTGTTGTCTGAGTCCATGAGTCTTTCTTTTTATAATTCCTTTTTATTTTTGTCTAATCAAATTCTAATGTATCCGGTGATTTGCTATTTTTGATGAATACCAACCTTGTAACCAACTGGGAGGTCCTGGCAATCTTGAGAACATCCACTGACTTTCTTACTCAAACATTCATTTATGTGGCAGTTTTTCTCATCTGAGCCATCGCCACAGTCATCCTTATTGTCACACAGACCTCCACTGGGAATGCACCTGCCATTTTTGCACATAAAAAATGAACTGTTGCATGACTGTTCTGGAAAAAGAAAATAAAACGAATGGAATATAAAGGGCATGCCATTGTTTTTATACTCCAGTTGTTGAAAACATTCACAAATATGATAACTTATCTGTCTAAAATCAGAGTAAATATATGTACATGTAAAATGCTTTCTATTTACACACAAAATATAGAAAACCAAAAGCAAACTGCACTTTTGCTCAACCCACTGTACATTGCTTTATCATGAAAATTAACAATCAAGACAAGAGTCTATAGCCCTGGCCAGCGTGACTCAGTTGGTTGGACATTGTCCCATGCACCAAAAGGTTGTCAGTTAGATTCATAGTCAAGGTACATGCTGGAGTTTTGGATTTGATGCCCATTAGGGAGCATAAAGGAGGCAGCCAATCAATGTTTTGCTCTCACGTGGATGTTTCTATCTCTCTCTGCCTCTCCTTTCCTCCCTCTCTAAAAATCATCAAGAAAGTTTTTTTTTATAAAAAATGCATCTATAGTAAAATTAATGGAATATTTCTGTCTTCATCTATAGTGTGACAATTGAGATCAAAGTGTAATGATGGTTTGACATTTCCCTCAAGCCATAGGTCTCTGTGAAATTAAATGTCACTAAAAATTACGAATCCAGAATAGGTAGATATTCCTAATTTTTTCCATCTTGGAAATATAACATTGACATTTAAAAATCAGGGCATAAAAAAGCCATTTTTAGTGAATAATAGTTGTTCCATATATAGCCACAGAAAGTAGTCCAGGTTTTCAAGCTACTCTTATCATGATGATTTGAATGTTACTCATTATTTAACATGATAAAAGCAAACTTATTAACATGCAAACTACATGAGTAGTTTTTTATTATAAAATACATGACTATGGCCAGGTGTGCCTTGGTGGTTGAGCTTCAACCTATGAACCAAGAGATCACTGGTTCAATTCCAAGTCAGGGCACATGCATGGTTGTGGGCTCAATCCCGATTTGGGGGCATGCAGGAGGCAGTCAATCAATGATTCTCTCTCATCATTGATGTTTCTATCTCTCTCTACCTCTCCCTTCCTCTCTGAAATCAATAAAAATATATTCTAAAAATTTGACTATACAGTGGGGCCTTGACTTACGAGTGTCCCGACTAACGAGTTTTTTGAGATACCAGCTATCTCTCGGCCAATTTTTGGCATTGAGTTGATAGAATAATTTGAGTTAACGAGCTCCTTAACAAGCTCGGTCTCGGAACGAATTAAACTCATAAGTCAAGGCCCCACTGTATATTCAGTAAAGAATAGTGAAATTATCAATAAACCAAGTTTGGCCATGTATATATTTAGTTAATATACAATTTACTTTATTTCGCCTAAATATGAATAACACAGACTTTCTCTCAGTAAATCTCAACTTCTTTTATGTTTGAATTTTTGAAGTGTAGCCGGGAAACTTTATTCACATAAAATAATGTATTAAGAAAAGGTGACCTTTTTGAAGGGGCAGGGTGATGGATTCATCAGGTTCGTTGCCTGAAATCTTCATGTTTTTAGCACATACTAAATTTATAAAACTAGCTTCAAAACATTATTATATTCTGCATAGTGTCACTAGATACATCAATGCTTAGTGATTTGCATGTCCTTTCATTTACTACTATACTAAGCAAATCAGAGTCACAATCTTGCCATTAAAAAAAGACAGATTTTGGAATAAGCATAGCTTCATATATTTTCTGTACCTGCACTTTTGCACTTTGGGTTTAAAGGTGCTTCATCAGAATGGTCAGGGCAGTCGAAGTCTCCATCACACTGCCATTGCACATGTAAAAGACATCGTCCATCAGCACAACTGAATTCTTCTGCATTACATGGTCGGTATTCTAGAGACAAAGAAATAAAGATTCTAATTTATATTATGTATATAATGAACATTATTCATATTTTATTGACTTTTTTTAACAGAGAGGAAGGGAGAGGGAGAGTTAGAAACATTGATGTGAGAGACTCAAATAAAGACTCTTATGCTTTTGCATCGGACTGGCTGGCTCCCTGATGTGGTTTCTTGGGGATCCTGAAATCTGGGCATTAACACCTTCAGTCCATAGGTTGATGCTCTATCCACCCAGCCACACCAGTTAGGGATATAACAAACATTATTTAGAACTGCAACCTCTAATCTACACTATACCTGACTAACCATGTGGATTATCAATGCCTCCTATGGGAAATGTTTCTATTTCTATCTGGGACAGTGGTCATACTTGCAAGAAATATTTGTGGCTGGGAAGTAGCACCGAAGTCCAGAAAATAAAGTTGCAAACAAGGCACTGTTACTGTTTCTAGAGGAGAACACAAGAACACAGGACTCCAGTATACCATCTCTGTTCACCTATTAGATATATTCTAAAGAGTTCCCTTAGAATGAAAAACAGAATGGAAGCTCTTAGAATTATCTTTAAGACCAAGCTCGGTTAGGTGCAGTACTAGAGCTTATGGATGAACTGATTCTGAGTTATAACGATACTTCTCAGAAGCTGTAATGTCATGTTTATGTTTGGGAATCAACATTCAAAGTGTAAATAAATTATTTAGATAAGGGAAATGAAAATCCAATTATAGAGCAATAAGTACAAGAAGTATTGCAATTATATATTGATTCTTAGATGCATTTAAAAGCTTTATTAAAATCACAATATTAGCCCATCAGTTGTTAATGTTCATATCTATGCCTGACTGTGAGTAAAATTCTTTTAATTGTGAATGTTACCAAGTTTTAAATTAGATTTCTCCCCTAATTTTGTAATAATAACACCTGTCATTTCTATTATAAACTTTCTGGTAAATCTAAGCAAATAGTCTATTTTTGGAGAGAGAAAATAAGATTTTTGTGGTTTAAAAAAATAAACAAAATTCTAATAAAAAACTAATTCAACAATGATCACTTGAGATATCTAGCACTTTGAAGGCAAAAGTAGATAGTTCTAACTCTCCTCAACTTCCTTAATGTTTTTTCCCTCCCTCTCCCTGAGCACTAGTTCCTCCTTTTGTGTTACTGTGTCTATTCAAGGTTCTCCCAGCCACAAAACAATAAAGGTCCATTGACATGACTCTTAACAACACATCTCTCTTTCACTTCCACTTACTTTCCTCCAGTTCTTCTTTGATTCATTAAGATCTACATTCTGAAATTCCTCAGAGCTAAGACACCAAGTGACAAGTGTCAAATTCAAAGGTGTCTCTTACTCTTATCTATTTCATTTTCTTGTAGTCTTTGACATCATTGACCACACTACCTTGGAAATCCAGGCTTCTCTCTGCTTTCCCCGTTTTTCCCTATTTCTATACGAAGTCCTCTATTGTTCCACCCCAAAGTGCTGTAGATGAAGCCCTTACTTCAATCTTCAGTCTATTTCTATCTCTCTTTTCCTATCTATATTGTTGAGTATATTATATATATAAATTTATTTTTACTGATTTCAGAGAGGAAGGGAGAGGGAGAAATAGAAACATCAATGATGAGAGAGACTCATTGATCAGCTGCCTCCTGCAAACCACCCATATGCGACCCAGCCTGCAACCCAGGCATTTGCCTCAATCGGGAATCAACCACGACCTCCTAGTTCAGAGGACAATTTTTACTGATTTCAGAGAGGAAGGGAGGAGAAATAGAAACATCAATGATGAGAGAGACTCATTGATCAGCTGCCTCCTGCAAACCACCCACAGGCGACCCAACCGCCTGCAACCCAGGCATTTGCCTCAATCGGGAATCAAATCATGACCTCCTAGTTCAGAGGTCAATACTCAACCACTGAGCAACACCAGCCCGGCTATTCTTTTTTCTTTTTTTTCTTTTTAATGTGTGTAATCCTTTTATTAGTTTTTTAAAACTATTAAAATCACACTATATACCTGCCTCTGAAAAGTATAACTGGGATGGTGGGAACTTGTAAATGAAGATGAAAAAAGAAGGTAAAGTGATCTAGCTGGGTTCACATAAATGGTAAAGCTGTGATCAAACCCTGGATTTTATAAGACTTTTGTCTTTAATTTTTTTTAAAAAAAGCAATATTCATTCATTGTAGACATTTTGGAAACTGAAGAAACATGTAAAAAATAAAATTTAAATCATTCTTTATCATATTTAAGTACCACTTTTATGCTGATTACCACCGAATTAACATTATTTGTCCAGATCACAGTTCTGGTCTTTAGAACCAAATTTTCAGACATTCACTACATGTGATTATCTGATTAACATTTCATTTTCATGATATAAAAAAATACATTTTTTTGTTAGATCTTTCTTCTACACCAGCAAAACTAGCCCTTAAAATCCTTTGTTCCAAAGCTAATTAACACCACACTTACCAAGTCATCAAGTTAGAAATACTCATTTATCCATATATGACTGTAAATTAATTCTGACCCCCCTCTGCACTTTCCATGCCACTGTTTCTACCCTGGTACAGAATCACATCATTAAACATCAGAGCGATTGCAACAACCTCCTAACTAATATTGTTCCCCTTTCTATTGGCAGCATTTGATCCACTCTGCTGAAAAAGATGGTCCTAAAACATAAATTTGAATGAGACATCCCTCTGTTTCAAAATGTGTTCTGACTGCTGAGAGACAAAATAATTAAATACAAATTATATAACATTATTTTTCAGAGTTTTTAGGTTCTAATGTCAACTTAATTTTCTGGTTTCAACTTACTTCACACAATATTAATTGCTATTCCTCAATTATTTCAATATGCAGATCTTTGTAAACAAATACAGAATTTGCTCTGTATTTCCGGAACTACTCTAAGCATTTTGAAATATTAAATCATTTAATTTTCTTATCAGACCTCAGAGTTTAGCAATGCTGCTATAATTTTTTTACAGATGAGGAAATTGAGACACTGGGATGTGAAATAACTTTACCATGTCACACAGCTAGTAAGTGGCAGAGCCACAATTTGGGCCAGGCTGTCTAGCTGTAGGGTCCATGCTTAGCCACCATGTCATATTCTAGTATGTAGCATCTAAACAGGATTTCCTCTCACTAACATTCCCTGCTTCTTCAGTGCTTCAAAAATCATTTTCTGGAGAAAACCAAGATGGCAGCATAGGTAAACACCTGAAATTGCTGCCTCGCACAACCACTTCAAAAATACATCTGAAAGACAAAACTGACATCATCCAGAACCACAGGAAGGCTGGCTGAGTGGAAATTCTACAACTAGAAGGAAAGAGAAAAGCACACTGAGACTCAGAGGAGGTGCAGAAGTAAAGTGCAGA